CGACGCACGCGCGGGGGAACGGGGGGAAGTGCTGAACTCACGAGGCTCGACGGAGCCTGCAGGGCATAAGCCGAGGGCAGCCCAATATCAGAGCCTCAACGTCGCTTCAAGATCGTTGGCTTTTTGCGTTGAAACCCACGATGGGCTGCCGCGAGGTCGTTCGGGCTTGTCGCGTTTCAAGAGCTCAGTGGTAATCAGCCTGCATCCATGGCCGACTTCATGGCGGCCCGAGACCGGCCGCTCGTGGTCAAGCCCGGTGGCCAGCGGCCCATGGTCGGCCCGCACCTGCCGTACGCCGAGGTCGACCCCTACGGGCCCGCGGCGCGGGCACTCGCGGCGGCGAAGAAGGACAAGATGCGCCCGGCGCTGCCCGCCGGCGCGGCGCAGCCCGTGGAGCCGCACCCCGTGATCAAGTCGACCTGGGTCGACCTCTTCGCGCACATGATGGACGAGGCGGACCGCGACGAGTTCGTCGAGCGCCTGAAGGAGCGGCGCGTCGCGGACCGCGGCCGGGACCTCCGGGCCGCGCGCGAGCTGAGCCGCATGGCCGCGGACCAGGACCGCAAGGAGGCGGCGGAGGCCGCGGCGGCGGCCATGCGCGCCGCGGGCGGGCGCGAGGCGCTGCGGTCCCTGCGGCGCCGCGTCTACGCGCTCGACGAGGACCGCGGGGCCGACGGGTTCGTCTCCAAATCCGCGGTCGCCGCGCAGCTCCCGCGCGAGGTGCGCCCCCTCGTGACCTTCGACGACGCCGGCGACCTCTGCCGGGGCTTCGACATCATCACCGCCGCGGAACTGGCGCAGACCAAGGCCGCGCGCGTCGTCCCCACCGTCGCGGCCGCGCCGCGCCAGCTGCCGAGCCACTGCGACCTGCGCAGGGCCTTCTACGACGCGGACCCCTACGGCAACGGCTACGCGTCGTCGGCGGTCGTCCGGCGGTCCTGGGCCGCGCTCCGCGGCGCGAACCCGCCCGATTCGCATCTGGCGGCGGGTCTGGACCTGTGTGGAAATCAACCACTGGTTTGGGACGTCCCGACCAAACTTTGAAATTCTCGAGCTCGGTCAAATCGACGTCGATTCGGCTGATTTTTGGACGAATCGATTGCTCTCGTCGAGTTCTCGAAGCACAGCGGAAGTGCTTGTGTCAAAACATTCGAATACGCTCACGGGTTGAAGATTTGATTTCCACACAGGTCTGGACGCGGCGCCGGAGCTCGCGCTCCGGGACCTCGAGCGCCTCCTGCTGACGAACGCGCACCTGCCGGCGGCGCGCGCTGAGAGCCGGTCCGCGACGTCCAAACTCGTCGCCGCGGCCCGCGAGCTCCAGCGGACTCCGAAATTCGACGACGCGGCGGACGCCGTCGACCTCGGCTCGCGGGCGCCGCTCGTCTTCCGGGACCAGCTCCGGCGCTCGTCCGCGGACGAGGCGGCGCGGCGCGCGGCCGCCGAGGAGCAGGCGCCGCGGGAGGTCGCGGCCGCGCCGACGGAGGCGGCCGCGCCGACGGACGTCGTCCCGGGCGGCCCGCGTCCCGGCCCTCCGCGCTTCGCGGGCGACGGCCGCGTGGCCGAGGGCGGCCGGCGCCGGTCGGCCTACGTCGACCTCTCCGACGGCGGCGCCCTCCGCGAGGTGCGCTTCGGCGTCCGCTTCCCCGACGACGAGCTGCCCGCGGGCGCCGCGAGGACCCTCGCGGGCGTCGTGCGCTGCGGCGGCGCCACGGTCGAGTGCGCCGTGCCCGTGCTCGGCGGCGAGAGCGACGGGCCCGTGCGGTCGCCCATCGTGCGCCTCTCGGCCGGCGGCGCGGCGCCGCTCCGCGTCAACGTCTTCGCCGCGGGCGGCGCGCCGCTCTGCTCCGCGAACCTCGCGGCCGAGGCCCTCGCGGCCGCGGGCGTCGTCGAGCTCGCCGCGCGGCCGTCCTTCCGCGGCGCGCCCGCGGCCGAGGTCT